GAGGTTTTCCGGGCGCCATCTTTCCCTGTTCTGTCTTGTGGCTGAGTGGATGCGTCTCGAGGTGAGAGCCGATTTTGTGTTTTTTAATGTCATTCTAAAAAAAATAAGTTGCAAGAAAATGTGTGTTTTGGGCATTTAGATGTGCACGAATTTGAAAGATCTCCGTAGCGGTGGTGAGGGTAGGTTCTAAGGCTGCGTGAGTGAAAACGGATTTCTCCAGCTGTCCGCTGTTTTTTTTAGCACGAGGATGTTTTTCCAAGATGGCGGCTAGGTACATGTTGTATCAGAGCCGGGTGGGGTATGTTGTAACATGTATGTATGTATGTATGCATGGGTATGTTGCTTTTGATCGCGAAAGCTAAGCCCTGGCTCGCGGTTGTAGGTAGCTAGTCAATGCTCGTTCCATTTCGGCACAATGTCTTGGCTTCTTTGCACTTAACGGGCCACTTTTGCGTCTAGTCTGTTGATGTTTCGTTGGGATTGCATTGACCTAAGTTTGGTCTAATAAAGTGAAGCCTTTGAGCATACCTATACATTGTATTAACCCCATTTAATGTTGCTGTTATGTTCAAAACCAGTAGCAAGCACACTCCCTGAAACGTGAAATAGTGATACAAACTACCCCACCATGTGATACAACTCACCCAAGCCATGGGGCAAGTTGTATCAAAAACATTGTTCTATTCGGCAGACCGTAGAAGAAAAACTGGTAGAGGTAGCGGAAAAGTTACTTTGCACAAAAAAGCAGAAGAATCAAGGAAGGGGATAGTATGGAAATAATGAGTTTATCACGGATAGTTACGAGGTTATGGGTCTCGGAGTAAAAACTGATACAACCCACCCCACTCTCCCCTACCCTGAATGTCTTACCCCACTTTCCCCTACAGAAATATATGTGAAACTAATATTTTCTGTAATAAAGGGCAAATATCTTCGCTAGCCTATTTGCCATCACAGCCTATGTGTGCAGTGTGTAGTTTTCCTTTCCGGTTATATATCCCGCGCATGACTGGGGTATTTTCCATAACGCGAGTGACTGAGGGGGGGGGTCTCCAGAGCCCCCCCCCCCCTCCTGTCTCCGAAACTACTGGGCCGATCGTCAAAATTCAAAGGACGTCTGATAGCCCTGGAAAAACTGTCGAGCGGAACCTACTTTCATTGACCTCGAGGTCACCGATGACGTCACAGGTCAGGTCAAAATGAAAATTATCGGCATTATTGCTTGTTTACAATTTAGGCTCTGGCCGCCGGCTGACAAGTCCGATCAGGCTCATTTTTTGTTCACGCGCTCCTTGATATATGCCTTAGATACCCTGGGGGTACCGAACTCTTACTTTGAATTTTTCAGGTCAAGGCCAGGTCATCCTAGGCCACGAAAATTGTATATCATGTATCGGTCACGTGACGCATGTTTTATGGTCCATTTTACACGTAGATCTCGAACATAATGTCGTCTGTGTCATTTGAGGTCATTTTCAGCTGAATTTACTGGAGGTCAGGTCAATTTCAGGTCAGAAAGGTCAAATATGAAAATTTTCAACAAAAAAAAGGTGCCTATCAGATGCAGTTTGAGCTCAGAAACACGTGGTGACATTTAAATTGCTGTACGATGTCAAAACGTACTGAAAAATGGTTTTGAATACTATACCTATAATTGTAAAATTTTGACAATAATGCAAATAAATTGGCTATTTTTAATCCGCGCACCGACGGGGGTCTGCGCCAACTTCGCACCGACGGGGGGGGGCGGATGACCGCCCCCCCCTGAGATCTCGAGAACGAAGCAAGATAGCGACAAGCGGTAAACGGCATCGGATACGCACGGTCAAGATCTACAATTTTTACTAAGGTCATTTTCAGGTCAGGTCAAAGATGACGTCACAGGGGTCGAAAAAGTCAAAATGGCGGCGCTAGATATGGAGAGTTTTTCTCGAATAACTTTCAAATTAGTCAAGATAGGAACAAACTAAGGGCATCATCGTGATCCTCTCGTCAATCCGCATCGAATGATATATATGTTGACCTCGAAAGGTTAAGGTCAAAGGTTGACCTCAGGTCACGTGACCTCGAGGTCATCATGTATATCATTCGATGCGTCTTGACGAGCTGAACACAATGAGACCATCCACGGTCTGTATCTTGTTTCTGTACGGAGTTATTGGCCAAAAACCTTTGGTGACCTTTGATGACGTCACATGACCTCACAGCTGCCCAACAGCAAAACAGACCTCAAGGTAGTGAAGGTTGATCGTATATGAAGTCATGTATGGTATATGGGGCCATTCCGACCCGTTTTAGTGGTAAAAACAGGGAGTTGATTTTTCCCCCATTGACATATAATGGGGAGGTCGCGAAATTGACCTGACCTTAGGTCACCGATATCAAAATTCCGAGATATACAAATTGTAGCTACAAATGACCTAATAATATCCTGCGACTTTCAAAGGCCTTCGCCATCTACTGTAGCTCTGGCACGATGACAAAGTTGCAAAAAAGTGACTTGAGGTTGGGTCATTCAAAGTGACCTGGTGACCTGACCTTAAAAGTTACGAGGTTCAAACTTGCACACCATGTGTAAAATTGATGAGGGAATAGTCATACCAAATTTCGCGGCGCTACGCGCCGCGGTTTTCCCGCTATTCGCGAAAAACCTCAGGGGGGGCGGATATCCGCCCCCCCGTCGGTGCGCGGGTTAAAGATATTGGGCTAAAACTTGCTAGAGTAGTTCATTGGTGTGTGTTCTATGATATACCTATATCTCAGTTTTTGCGAAAAATAAAAAAAAAAATCAAAAAAACATATTTTTTGTAATTGTGAAAATATATTTTTCAATATTCTCAAAGTTTTGAAAATTCGGATAGCAGTTTGATAGCTACTTGTATTTGTAGTCCGTTGATACAAAGACATTGACCCCGTTTCCATGGGCATCACTGATCCGGATCAGTGCCTCGTAAGGGATTAGGCTGCCCATGGAAACACCCGTAATCCCTTACCGGTGATCCGGATTCTAATCCAGCTTCGAAAGAAGCTGAGCCGTTACGATAGGGATTAATGTTTGACTTTTTAATTTTCTTATTTTCATGTTAATTGTTTTAATGGGCCTGGATGCATATATCGCATTAGAAATATTTTATTTAAATTATACTATTACTAAAATGATATGTTTCAAAATTTGGGCTATATTATTTAAGATTTAAACCATTGGAGATATTTGTTTGTGCATTCCTCCTGCACGGTGTCCAAGCATTCCGTTGCGCAACAGCATCCACCCATCAGTTATCTTGCTAAGGTCTATTATTGTGCCAATATTCTTAATCTATTTGTTGGTTACGGAGCGAGCGAAGCGAGCGTAGTCTTTCCTTAGATTAACGGAAATTTCTGAGTATGAGCGGCCGGCCGGCCGGCCGGCCGGCCGTGGTCACGCTTTTGCGAGGCTTATATCTCAGCAACCACTTGACCGATTTACACGCGGTAATTTTTGTAGGGTAGCTTCATTCCTTCTACCAAGTATTGGACTATTCCCGATGCATGTGGGTGACCCCTTATGCACGTGCCACGTGCAAAACGAAGAGGTGTCACTTTTGTAATTGTTGCAATATCTCGGTAACTACTCGGCCGATTGCGCTGAAAGTTGGCATGTAGGTAGGCACCCACTAGGCACTGCATATACATGTGCCAGAGTTGGGGTGCTGCTGCACGTGCGCACGTGCAGGGGTCGTTTCCAGATCTCGGGAACGGCTGGACCGATTGCGCTCAAATTTGGTACACGGTTAGGGACCGGTTAGTAGGGTGCCGTGCACAAGTCAGTTGGGACCCATCTTGCACGTGCGCACGTGCAGGGTGCCGCTTTCAGATCTCGAGAACGGCTGGGCCGATTGTGCCCAAATTTGGCACATCGCTAGAGACCAGTTAGTAGGGTGCCGTGCACAAGTCAGTTGGAGGTACCCCCTCGCAATTTCGCACGTGCAAGGCCCACCCTCTCGCTCGCTCCGTTAGTCGCCCCAAAAGGCGTTATACTGGTGTTAGATGGCAAATCAATTTTGCAATCTTTTCCAGCATTTTTTCATTACCCGTGTAATCCCTTACAGCACAAATGTAGACTTTCTCGATGTTGCATCATTTGCCTGTCAACTATTTTCATATATAAGTTTAGGACAACGGCGGCAGAGTGCCGCGGTGGCGCAGCGGTATGATTTTCGCTTTTTGAGCCAAAGGTCTCGGGTTCGAAACTCGGGGTCGCCCGAAACGTTTTCTGAAGTAATGAAAGACGGACGAATTGCTATGTAAATTTATTTGTTTATTTTTATTTTTTAACATGAATCGAACTGAAAAATTAGTTATTGTAGAGAGTTTGGAAGGTTTTCCCAATAGCCGAGTTTGCTATCGGTATGATAAAAGAAAGCCAATCTTCAGGACGGAAGATCCTAGTCGATTTTTGCACAAGGCCAGGCAAAAATGTTAGCTGGAGTTTTTATTAATTGCCAAAGTGCGCCATACTCGTCCCTCCTAAGCCGATCAGTAGCGGCTGAGCTCTTATTTCACTGATCCGGATCAGTACCGGCTTTGCCCATGGAAACGGCCCCAGTCATCCGGATCAGTAGCGGCTTCACTGATCCGGATACGAATCCCCTTGCCCATGGAAACGTAGTCATTGGATCTAGCTTTAAAACTAAGCTCTTGAGAGCGTTTGACGTAATTCAATAATTTGCATCAAAGTCGGCCGACATGACGTCACTCTGACGTCGTTTGCGGCCAAACTATGGTAGCTAGAAAGTTGAAGTTTTAACGCAAGGTGTCAAATTAATGCAGCTCAGGGTACTGCAAGTTTCGTGTTGATCCGTGAAATGGTTTAGAAGATATTGCCGAAAAACGGGAGTGAGGCTCTGTAGAGCCCCCCCCCCCCCAGTCATGCGCGGGATATAGTACATACGTCAGTTCAGAATGGATTTTCCCCGAGATGGATCTCACTTCATTCTACGGAACCGCATCAGACACAGGGCGGCGTACCGTTTCGCCGTGTATTGTTAACATCCGACACACATGGAGCGGAGAACCGCCCTGCGGCAGCCGCAGTGGTCACCTCACGGGCGCCGCGCAGGTCCCCACACCGAGCCGTGCGTCAAACAACAGTCCAAACACTCCAGAGCCAACGCATCCGCCGGCGCGGATGTGGCCGCAAATGAACGTGTATGATATGAGTGACAACCTACGTCTGTGGGTGTAGAATGGCTGCCGATTGGGTGCCTGTCGTTGTCGTCAGTCAGTCGTCACGGTGCCGTCTAGATCGTGTCATGCGTCTCAACTCTCATGTCATGCGTTCCTTTTTCAGTCGTTGAATTCGTTTATTTTACCTGTCCTTTGTCACATGTGTTACGTGCACAGCAGACTGGATTAATCGTTATTGCCTAAGGTTCAGTACGTCCGACATTTCAGATACAGAGTATTATGGAGAGCGTTGTTAGATTAGCACTTCGAGGGAAACTTCCGGTGAAGCTCCAGCTGATCTGGAGTTCCGGACCTTCTCACGCCCTGGGCTCACATGGTCGACGTTACCGGCACATTATCGTTACGCGGTTGGCTCGGCTGCATCCAGCGCGGAGACACACTCGTGGCAGCCGGGAGTCAGACACGCAGCTAATTAACTGACGCGCCGTTTCCCGGTACATGTGCGACGCGCCACGTGACGGGTTTCCGTCGGCGCCGAACGCGCCGACGAGGAGGCTCATCACATCAGTGAATCGGCACCGCTGCGCAGAATCGGACGTCTGTTACCGCGCAGGATGCGCCCGAGGCCCTTCCGCAGCGGCGCGCTGGCGTATTGTGGAAATTTGGAAGCTCTTATTTTGTAAATACGTTCGACCTGACAAAAATATCTACACTTTTATATGACATATTGAGTAACACACACACAGTTTTTGTAGCAAACAGCTGCTTTTCATTATTGTGGAAACTTCTATATGACTATGCTGCGACTACATACAGCCTAGCCTTCTGCTCTAGCTCCATGAGTGCACATGTAAGCCACTATCAGCCGATGCAAGTTCAGTGTGCTACGTACACGAAGAGTCACTGGCCGAGCACGATTGATCCCGTGGAAAAAATCCCCGAGCAGTTCCATCTCTTCTGCGAGGAATTTCCGTTCCAAGCTGACCTTTTCGTTTGATCTGAACAGTGACCTGATCCTGACATTTCCTATCAGTGCAACTTTGACTGCAGTTCGATAACACACATAGTTATGAACGGCGCCCCCGACCGGTGACTACTCCGCGAGTCCGCGCTCCCCACGAGTGGAGCTCGCTCGAGGGCTATCCGAGCCCTCCACGGTCGCTGTCAGGGGACCGCGGCGTCACTGCAGGCACCAGCCGGACGGCGGGTGCCCAGCGGTCCTTATCCGTCCTCGCCCACCGGCACCGGACGCCGCTCCCCGCCCTGTGGCCTCGCTCCCCGCCTGGTGACGGCTGTTGGTGACCTCTCTGGTGACGGCTCTGGTGACCTCACTCCCGGTCTGGTGACGGCTCCTGGTCCCCGGCGGCGGCGGCGTGCTGCGGTGCGCTCTCCTCGGGATCCTCCGGGGCAGCGGGCTGGCGGGCGGCCGTCTCGGAGGAGGCGTCCCGGTCCGTCTCGGCGGCGAACGAGGACGGCTTATCGACCAGATCGACCAGGCTGCCCTGTAGGACAGGCGGCGACTGGTTATTGATTCCCATCCGCCCACCGCCGGCCGCGGCCGCCAGCCGGCTCGCCGCCGGCGCTCTCACCAACAGCGACAGCGAATCCAAGATTCCTTGACTACTCAGGTTGGTTCACTAGGGAACTAAAGGCGCCATGGTGACGTCATTCAGAGAAAATCATTCACGTTCAAATTAAGAGGTCATTTGAATTGCTGATTTTGGCTCGATATAGTCTTATTTTTTAGTTTCAGCCCCATTTATCGTAATGAGGCGAACTCATCGTTACATTGGTACATCTTTTGATGACAAATAATCCTTTTTTTTCTCCAGCTCGCTCGAAAGATGATGAAATTTGCATGCATGCCTATGGGTGAAGGGAGATTCTACCGCCGTGGTGACGTCACGGTAAAGGGATTCTGGAGCTCGTGAACGGGGGCTGAGCGAATCCGGCGCCGGCCGCGGCCGAGCGCCGGCCGCCGGTATCGCGCGGGCTATCGGGCGGTTAGTGCTGTCGTTGGAGACGGGAGGGCAGCGCTCGCCGTCGTCAGCGCGCCCCGTTAGAGAGCCGCCCGGGGCCAGGAGCACCACTCGCCTCGGTCGATGCCTATTTATAGAGACTATCTGGCGGGCTGGACGAGATTTATCACAGCTGTAAAGATTGTCTCACAGTCTCATGAATTCTTAGGCCTAGCCGTCCGTGGTTGGTACGCCTGGTTGCCGGGGAAAACGGGAAGGAACCTCTGGAATACGTCAAATTATGTGAATCGGCTCCATTTTAATTTCTGGCTCTGGTAGAGGCACTTGTAATCTATTGTTTAGCTCACCTGACGTTTCATGGTTTGCACTTTGCGCAGCGATTTACGTCACAAAGCGCATGTCAAAGAAGTTCATGGAAGTAGCTGTTCTAATAATTTCATTTATTAGGATAACGCTGAATAGGGGAGAGTGGGGCAAAGCGGCCACCCGGGGCAAAGCGGCCACCCATCGTTTTAGCCCTTCATAGCTGGCGTCAGTTCCAATTTAGGGTTTCCAATTATACTTCTCTTCACGGTCGTTCGAATGAGCCAGACCGGGGTTTCAGGCCCATCACCATTGTTCTGTGAAACACGGAAAAGCATTTCTTGCCAGGTTACCAACTATGTTTACAATTTTTAAATGTTATGTTATTTCATAACCGTTTGGAATTTTTATAAGCGTTCTTGTCCATGCATTGCATTGTTATCGTAAATGTATTCTATCAATTTTAATGTTTTTTACCCCACTAATAGCTAAGCTGGAATATTTTTGAATCGGACGGTATGCGCGGGGCAAAGTGGCCGGGGCAAAGTGGCCACCCCCGAATTGGCCATAAATTGTTTCCATCTGGATAAAAAAAACATTATTCATATTCAAATGTGTCGTCATGCATTCATCTTGGCCACTTTTCAGTTGCATGAGTTACCAAATAATGCAGTTAAATGTTTTTTTCATGAAAATCCTTTCTTTGTTTACCTACAGGTGGGATGCTAACAAATTGCAAACATCCATCCTCGCTTGAACCTTGTCACCATCAAATACCCTAGTCGTACATGAGGCAGCTATTTTGTTTCTCATATCGGGACTTGAGAAGACGCCGGTGGCCGCTTTGCCCCAGGGTATGGGGCAAAGTGGCCAATATGCATAGCTTTAAAGTTTTGTCAATATCTTCCATATGTGAACGCCTTTGGAAATAAAACGCAGTTGAAATGAAAGGCAACTTAACCCGCGCACCGACGGGGGTCTGCGCCAACTTAGTACCGACGGGGGGGGGGCGGATGACCGCCCCCCCCTGAGATCTCGAGAACGAAGCAAGATAGCGACAAGCGGTAAACGGCATCGGATACGCACGGACAAGGTCTACAATTTTTACTAAGGTAATTTTCAGGTCAGGTCAAAGATGACGTCACAGGGGTCGAAAAAGTCAAAATGGCGGCGCTAGATATGGAGAGGGTTTTTCTGGAATAACTTTCGAAGTAGTCAAGATAGGAACAAACTAAGGGCATCATCGTGATCCTCTCGTCAATCCGCATCGAATGATATATATGTTGACCTCGAAAGGTCAAGGTCAAAGGTTGACCTCAGGTCACGTGACCTCGAGGTCATCATGTATATCATTCGATGCGTCTTGACGAGCTGAACACAATGAGACCATCCGCGCGGCTGTATCTTGTTCCTGTAAGGAGTTATTGGCAAAAAACCTTTGGTGACCTTTGATGACGTCACATGACCTTACAGCTGCCCAACAGCAAAACAGACCTCAAGGTAGTGAAGGTTGATCGTATGTGAAGTCATGTATGGTATATGGGGCCATTCCGACCCGTTTTGGTGGTAAAAACAGGGAGTTGATTTTTCCCCCATTGACTTATAATGGGGAGGTCGCGAAATTGACCTGACCTTAGGTCACCGACATCAAAATTCCGAGATATACAAATTGTAGCTACTAATGACCTAATAACATCCTGCGACTTTCAAAGGCCTCCGACATCTACTGTAGCTCTGGCACGGTGACAAAGTTGCAAAAAAGTGACTTGAGGTTGGGTCATTCAAAGTGACCTGGTGACCTGACCTTAAAAGTTAGGAGGTTCAAACTTGCACACCATGTGTAAAATTGATGAGAGAATAGTCATACCAAATTTCGCGGCGCTACGCGCCGCGGTTTTCCCGCTATCCGCGAAAAACCTCAGGGGGGGGCGGATATCCGCCCCCCCCGTCGGTGCGCGGGTTAATAGGGATCACATTGGTATAGAAAGAATCTTTCCAAGCTTAAAAATCAAGCGTTGGCATCGTGAGAAGCGTTAGGGTGGCCGCTTTGCCCCACTCTCCCCTATATGCTAATCAAGTGCATACCTGGAATAAGAAACCCTCCTATATTGGGCTCCTATGCGCCAAGTTGCCACCACTAGCATGGCACAAATTGCCAACGAACTTATGGAACACGCTGTTTTTCAGTACCCGCAAAGTAAGAATCGAGTAAGTACCTAAGCAGTTCTGTCCACAACAGTTATTCGTTACATTACAATGGAAGTTTCACAATAATAGGTAGGTATATAATCATTGTTTTAATAATTAATTCTAAACGATTGGATGGACGGATGAAAATAATGGGAAATAGTTAATTCACATGTTGTAATCTTGCGAATTTCAACTTTTCATGCTCACTTTTTGCTAGCTAAAGCGCGTGTGTGTCGAAAAAAGTATTTGGAGCCAAACCTCTTTTGAAGAAAGCAAACTATGCTATATAGATTCTCCTCCATCTATACATAACTTGTCTTAACCCTCGCACGACCAGGCCATTTCTCATAACACGAACGACCAGGGGGGGGGGGGTTGTTACGACCCCCCTGGCGTTTCGAAACGGAAGGTCGTAGAGCTTAGCGGAAAAAACCAACGGATTGCTCTCAACGAGATCTCGCGATTGGTGGTATATTTTTTGGTCCTAGGTCAACATTTGACCTACTTTTGACCGGTCAAAGGTCAAATTTTCGGAAAAATAGACTTTTTTCAACTTTCGGCGGCGATTGCGGCAAAACGGTGGGAGATATCGACTTGAAACCTTCACTATCGTGTTCCTTGATCAATTCTCTATCGTTTGGTATGTATTTCGTTTCCCTAGCTCTAAAAATGGCGCGTTGGGAGCGCCGGAAGTCGGCAAGGTCACAGTCGGCGGCAGAAATTCGAAAAATCAAAATTTAAATTTTTGAAATCTGATTGTATTTTTTGATTTGGGAGGTCCATTTGCTCCCTATAGAAGCTAATATTGCTGCATATTCCCATTGAGGTGACAAGAATTAGCAAAATAGTGGTTCGGGCGCTTTTCAAAAATAGTACCGGACGCTGTTCCTCTTGTGACGTCATAGCTCCGTGACCTGACCTGACCCGGTCAAATTTCTTATACCATATGATAGCCAATACTTGCCCCAACATGCATGGGAAGTTTCATCACGATCCATCAACCGATGTCCGTACCACCGGCAGGAAACCTCGGGCGTTGGCACTCAGTTTGTGAAAATCCGGCCGGAGGCTGTACCTCTTATGACGTCATAACTCCGTGACCTGACATGACCCGATCAATTTTTTTTCGGCAAAAGATGCGCAAAGGTTGCCTTAGAGGGTATTGAAAATTTCAGCCCGCTACGACAAGCCGTTTAGCGTGCACTTCGAAAAAACCTCAGGGGGGGGGGTGATACAACCCCCCCCCCCACCCTAGGCGTTCTAGGGTTAACCCGCGATTCTATCTGCGCGGGCCCCTTTGCAACAATGAGCGTGTCCACTGTCCATCGAATCGTTGTAGACCAAGCCTTTGTTTTACTGTTCAGTGGATAGTTCCTCATTGGCTACGTTTCCACTTTCCATGGCACAAGATAAGCCGATTTTGAAAAAATGGATTTGCTCCTTCATAGCATTTAGGCATAATGTAAAAATGTAAATATAGGATTAGGTGCTAGCTAAAACCATAGATACGCTCATTTTTTTTTGCATAAGGTAAATATGTAGTTTCGGAGAAAAACGCACGTGAAATTTCGCTAAATCGATTTAGACGTGTCATGGAAACGTAGTGATTATCGAGCATTCTACTGTAACTCAGGACAGGACCCAATCGCAAGTCGCCAGGACTCCTGTAGCTCCTGGACTGTAGCTCAGGACCCACCCATAGCGGTGAGCCCCTGGAGCCGATGTCACTGAGTCGTTCAGGTAGCGGGGCACGTCACTGCACAGTGGCAACCTCTGCCTGCGCTCCCGATACTCCAGCCAGCCCGTCATTGGGGATATTTATGGGTAGCGCTGCTCGATAGCCAGCGAGCAATTCACCACCACGACCAAATATAAATTATAGTTCATGGCCCACAGCGGTACTGAAAATCAATGCATATGTGGAACGCGCTCCATGTTGTTGGAACTGATTTTTATTTCGCCATGGAGCCTGATGAGGGCATTGAATTTAACAAGTCCCACTGTCTGTCTTCAGAAGCTCGTTGTATGCG